AGGGGAGAGAGGAGAAAGAGGAGAAAAGAAAGAGGAGAGAGAGAGAGAGAAAAAAAATGTCACCCTCGGGTCGCCCGGGGGTTTGGGACCACCGCAAAGAACCGCTAGAACTCAGCGAAGACCCTGGATCCCTGGATCTTGGGGGGCCAAACTTCGCATTCTCGTTGGGCTATGAAGGTAGAACGAGGCCGAGGCGAGCTAAGGTCCAGCCTATGCTGTTTGTCCTGGGAGGCGTGTAAGGCTCTTTTTTGTTTGTTTGTTTTTCAGTATTTACACAATTCCGCTTGCTGCTTCGCCTCATCCAGTTCTCTGGTTTTGCGCGTGGAAAATCCTCTGGTGCCAGCAAAGTGTTAGGAAGCGGCTTTACCTAAATGATAGAGCGTGCTGTACCAATTCAAAGGAGTTCAACAATAAAATTAATTTGGCACTTGGTCCCTGCAGTAACTGGTGGGCTGCCATATTTTTCCAATTAAGAAAATATGTGACATGCGTAGAATCACATATTTAAGCAAGCAATTAAGTTGTTTATAACACGGTCTGTTCCTGTTTAGGCCAATAAGTGGAAATTTGGGGGCAAAGTAAAGATTATATTAAGTCTATTAATCAACTGGAAATGTGGACATCTTTTTCTTTGAAGTCCCCAAAGTTTGAGAGGTATCCATGGTGGATGACATAAAATAGACAGCCATTCACCCCTTGGGCAGTAGCTGGACCGTGTTTTCATATTTAAATTTTATTGCACTGTGAGTGAAACTATTTTATTAACTTGGCTGTGAATGTTTGCTACTATGTTACCCACTTCCTTCCAGGAGGAAGGACACATGTCCACAAAACGAACTCTGAGACCTAGAAATGCTGGCATCACTTAAGATCACCACAGTAAGAATGGTAGGCAGGGCTGAGATCTGGGGGCCATTCTTTCACCTCCAGACGCTGCACCAGCTTCTCCTAAATTTGGAAAGTGTTGGCACAGCGGTCTGACGTTTCAGGGAAGCCTCCTGAAGCCTGGGTGAAGCCGCAGCTCTGGGCCCTGGGCACAGCTGCGCACAAGACGGAGAGGTTAAGGTCTGTACCCGAGGTAGGCGCAGACCTGGGATCGTTCATTTCCAAGCACAGGGCAAGTCTTAATTTCTCTGCAAGCCGGCTCTTTTGGAAATGATGTTTAACTCCCATGCTGATCTGGAACCTGGGCTGGGGAAAAACAGCCAACAGCCTGGACTGCCCAAACTCAGCTTCGACGCTTTAAAAAACAAAAACAAAAAAACCACCAAGTCTCCGACTCAGGCAGTGGATGAAGAAGGTTCAGAGGGCAGTTTCTGTTGTCGAGGTGGCTCCCCTGATCACTGCCACTTGGCCTTAATGTGCAACGGCTGGCAAAAGTAGGCTTACAGTTGTGAGTACGCGAACGGTTTATTCTCATCTTCCTATTTATTAATTATGGCATTGTTTGTGTGTATTGCAACTGTACACCTACTTTTGCCCACCCCATGTGTATAGCCATATCCCTTGGGTATCTCTGTGTGCTCACATTTGCAGAGCTCCCGTTTTTAAAGGGAGGAGAAGAAAGGGCAGGAAAATAGCAACGGATGTGTGCAAACCCAGAGCAGGAAAAAAAATGCATATTTTATTAAACATCCGAGCTGGTGGATGCATGAAAAGGCTTTGAGCAACCAATAGAAACCGCGGGTCGCGAATGTTCTGCCTGAACCTGTTGATCTCTGCGGGTTGAAGCATTTAGGGTCCAGTCGGCCTTTCCGATGGGGAGAGACAAGGAGAGAACCGAGGCGGCGGTCAGTCCCGCGAGCCCTGCGAGGCTAGTTTTCTGCCTCTCGCCTTCTAGCCCGGCGTGAGCGGCGAGCCCTCCAGGCTGCCAACATGGCGTGGACGCCTCTGCTCAGGCGACAGAGGTCTGGCTGGCGGGGGCCAAGGACCGCCGGGCGGTCCGTGGGCTGCCCGTGGGGTTTGGTCCGAGCCGTGGGTCAGCGCCGAGCTCCCGGGGATGCGACTCTCCGCGATGCGCAGCACGAGGGGCTCGTTCTGCCTGCCCCCCT